TACACAAGCCAAGGTCAGTGAGCAAGGACAGGCTGATTTTGGAGATGGTTTTTTTGACTGGAATTGAATTGAAAAGGTCCACCAGAGAATGCATTTTTATTGGAAGCGCTGTGGTTTTAATGTTGATTCTACTTTTATGAAAATGTTTTATTGAGTCTCAACTTTTACCTTCATCTGTTGCTTTGGACATTTGATGTGCAAAAACAGGAACAAACTCTCGGGGATTGTCAGGATGTGCAGCAAAACTGCTGACAGCCCTACAGAACCTCACTGACTTACACAAGCCAAGGTCAGTGAGCAAGGACAGGCTGGTTCTGGCAGATCCTGATCATCCACTCCATGGTGAGTTCAGGTTGCTTCCATCTGGACGCAGGTATCTGCTGTCCAGATGTAGGACAAACACTGAAAAACTCAAACTCATTCATCCCTGTAGCGATCAGGCTTCCCAACAAACAATGATGACTTGTGTACTGTTATTTTACTGTCTCCATGTCGTGTCTGGTATGAATGTTTTGCGTGCCTACTGACTGGGAAACAAATAGCCCCTCGGGGATAATAGATTGTTGAACTTGAACAGGAAAAAAAAAAGCAACCAACCAACTTGGTTGTTGTAGCTGCAGTGCCTCTTGGAGGGTGTTTGCAACAACTTGTTGTGGATAATTTGTAAAAATTTACTTTGCACTAGTCAGGGTGAGTTACTTGGATTATAAACTGTCTTTGATAAAAAGTTCTGTTTTTAGGTTGGATCCTCACCCCTTGTTTTAGGAACATTAAATTAATTAATAAAGCCTTTATTTTGTTAACCTCCTAGCATTTGTGGTGATTATTTGATATATATATATATATATATATACGTGTGTGTACACTGTAGAAACATGAACTCAATGACACCAGCATTAATACATGAACACATTAAAATCTCAGATAATCTTTAAATCAGCAGATGAGTATTCACATTCCCTGTCTTTTTAAAATGTGGTGAAATACATAAATCCTGCTGGGTGACATTTTATTGTACAGTACTAGAACTTTATGTTCTACAGTGCTCAGGTTATGGAAGTCTAGATCTGTAATACAGTTGGGTGGGTCAAAATATAGTCGGCTGAGCTGAGGACAAAACGAACAGTAGAAACCAGGACGCATTTAGGCAAAATTAAGAAAATATACATTCCTTCAGGTGAGGGGTTAAAGTAACACAAACGTTCTCATGTACCTTTTAGGAAGAATTTAACAAAAGTTCGCTTATGGTTTCTTTCGAACCGCTCAGCTAGCTAACTAAAGGTGAACTGTTTAACTTTAGCAAAACGAGACAAGCTATTAAGTTAAAAAAATAAATAAATAAACGCACCTTCCATGTGCCCAGTCCCAAAATGGGCATTTCGGTACCGGTGACGAGTTTCACTGTGGTAGCCATTGCTGCAAAACAGAAGTGGAGCGGGAGGACCAGAGGAATCTCTTTATAGGGCTCTGGCAGCAGCGAGCGGAGCGCCGAGCATGGAGAGCGGCGATCGATTAGTGATGCCTTTTACGAGCCCGCCGCCTAAAGCTGCACAAACTGCTGAGTTTGCTTCGTTCCATTCTTTCAACGAGGAGTCGTTTTCAAGAGAGACCCGTTTTATACAAAACCACCAATAATTTACAGACAATAAAATGCAAATAAAATAAAAGGTAGTGTTATAAAACAACACTGACAGGTTAATGACAGGTTGAAGAAATGGAGCACATGACAGAACTGTTTGTTTCATACAAAAAAAAGTTACAGGTTAGCAGGAAGTACAGAGAGGAGTAACTTCAGTGTCTTTGTGGATTAAAAAAAAAAACCCCAACAACTTCAAGACAGGGTGAAGATAGAGGAGCTGTTGTGTGGAATGAGGAACTCTGGACTGGTACAGGATGCATGAGGACACTGGCTTCACTTCACTGGCTGCCCGTTCATATTAAATTTCATAGAGTTCATATTAGAGTTTATTTTAAAATTGTTGTATTTGTTAAAAAAAAAAAATGTAAATGGTCTTGCCCCTTCTTATCTCTCTGAGCTGATTCACATGTACTCTCTTGCTTCTTTAGGTCAGCTGATCAGCTGCTCCTGGAGGTGCTGAGGTCCAGAGGCTCAGAGGGGACAGAGCTTTTTCTGTAGCCCCTCAAAGATTATGGAGCAATCTCCCTTGTCCCATCAGACGAGACCCCTCACGGTCCATTTTTTAAACTCTTTTAAAAACACCTTTTTATTCTCTGGCTTTTGGCACAGCCTACAATTTGCTCTGCACTACTGTTTTTATGACTGTTGTATTCTTTTATGTGTTTAATGTTCTTGATTTTATATGTACAGCACTTTGTTGCAGCTGTGGTTGTTTTAAAGTGCTTTATAGGCTAGTAGAAATAGTATGAGGACAGCAGGACAGTGGTGAGATGTGCTGTAGGAGTGACAGATCGCTTCAAGGTGGAGGTGGGAGTGCATCAAGGATCTGCTCTGAGCCCCTTCTTGTTTGGACCGACTAACAGATGAGGTCAGGCAGTTATCCCCGTGGACTATGATGTTTTCAGATGACATTGTGGTGAGAACAGGGAACAAGTGGAAGAAAACTTGGAGAGGTGGAGGTATGCACTTGAAAGAAGAGGCAGCTGTAGTAAGAGTACATGTGCGTGAATGAGAGGGAGGCTGGTGGAACAGTGAGGCTACAAGGAGCAGAGGTCACAAAGGTGCAGGACTTCAAGTAGTTGGGGTCTACTGTCCAGGAAAACATAGAGTGTGCTGGTTGTGATTGTGAGAAATGTGGGACAGATGTTTTTTTTTTTTGGACATGTCCAGAGGAAGGACAGTGGGTATATTGGTAGAAGGATGTTAGAAATGCAGCTGCCAAGGGGGAAAAAAAAAGAGGAAGGCCAGAGAGAAGATTATATGGATGCAGTTAGGTTGGAGTGAGGACAGAGGATGCAGAGGACAAAGTGAGATGGAAGACGATGACTCGCTGTGGTGACCCCTGAAGAGGAAACAGCTGAAAGACGAAGAAGGGACTCTAAACTTCGGGGCTGTAGTATTGGCCTGGTAAGCCTTTGGAAAGTCAAAGACATCTGGCATTTCAACATCACTGCACATCATCAGCTGCAGATAGTCTCCATTTAGTTTAAAAAGGGCTTGTGAATTTAAATCATACGATTTGACTTACGGAAGCTTAACACACTGTCAATTACCCACCTGTGAGTTGTCTTTTAAATAAAAATAATAATTTGATCATCTCCTGATGCATGCTCAATAATCCAGGTAGAAAAATAATAATTTAGAATAATTTGATCACTTTTAAACTGGTTTATTGGCTTTATTCCATTTCTTATAAACTTTTTGTAAAAATTTAATAAAAAAAATATATATATATTTTTTGCTTCAATTTATTGTTTAGCACATTGAGCCATTGTGTCATGTTTTAAATGTACTTTTAAAAAAAAGAAACCAACATTTAAGCTGCATTAAAATTTCTTTACAAACTGAACATGCCATTGTTCTGTACAAGTTTAATATATAAACACAAAACGTCCGATCAATCAATCTCACACTTCTGATTGTCTGTGTGCCAGAGGCCTAAAGTTTCCACATTTTTTACCCCATAAAATGTCTAAATCTCTTTAAAAAGACTGAAAACAGAAATAAAGAGGGAGTAAATATGACAACTTTTGACAAGCACTATCAGTGATAAAACAGAACGAATACAGAGCCTTGAAAAATGGCACAAGTATTTATATTTATTGTAAAGCTGGATATTTTATTCCTCTTAGCCGTTTATTCTGAACTGATTTAATTTAAGCCTTTAGAATAATTTTTAGAGGCCTAAAACAATTTTACCAATCATACATAAAATCAAATAAAGCTCTATATCCCTGCACCTTTATTGTCGAGAACTTGGTTTGTTCCACTTTTAAATCACTAGAGGGCAGAATTACACTTAAAAAAAACACGTTAAATAGTCACAGGTCATCCAGCTGTGGCTCAGAAGTGGTCCAGTCTAAATTTCATACACTGGCCAACACATCCTTTAATTAAAAGTAACTGGAACGATTAATCACTTCATTTAAAGCCTCCAAGAAAACCTCAAAAACACATCTAAAGTTTGATTTGAAGGTGACAATTTCCTCTTTAAACAACCTCATATAAAAGAAAGCAAAGATAGATGTGTTTGAGTTACTCTTTATGATTTTATCTCAGACTGATCTTGTACATCCTTGTCCACACATGCTGGCTTTAAACCTCGAGAGACATCTAAAAGGAATAATACACATCTAACATGACTTTCTTTGGCAAAATCAGATAAAACCTCACAGATCTTTAACTGAGCCATTCAACAATCAGAGCAGAAGAGGCGATACGACACACACACATATATTTATATACGTATATACACATACATATGAAGGAGGAAAAACACACAAAGGAAAAAGTTATGAGAGCTAGTAGTACCTCACAATGCTTCTCGCCAAAGTTCGAGTCTCTTCAGATCTTCTCCCAGCTGGACACCAGGTTTTCAGACCCCTCTCTCCTCTGATCTAACTTCAGACACTGAGGCCTTCTGACAACCTCCAAACTGTCAAAGCACCCGAGGAATCAAAGACATTGCACGCCGATGAGATCAAAGAGCCTTAGGTAAAGGAGACAAAGACAAGTGCTACCTGAAAGGGGGGATGTTCATTTTAGAAGCTATTATTTTACGTCTGCAGACACACATTCTCTGATTAAAATGAAGAGAAAAGGAGAAACAAGGGAGATTTGAAGCCACTACAGGAGCCTCAAGTGACAATCACGGAAACCTTTCGTATAAACTTGATTTAGGCTTGAAGAAGGGTGTTTATCTCGAAGAATTTCACCCATTTTTCAGGCTTAAAGAACAACTTTTTCTCAAAAAAGACACCAATGTGAAAGAACGCTGCATTATCAAATATGAAACCTCAACATTTCTGCTTGATCCCGTTTAGTTTGTTGTGGTTTTCTCAACAGAACATCTGTATTTATATGGGGATGATTGATCAGGATAAAAACACGGTCGGCCTGGAGTGTTCCCAACTCCTCAGTGAGGAAAGTAGTAACTGGCTACAAAAAAGCTGCGAGAAGTTGCTAAATTACATCATAGGTTAATTTGTACAAATTACCACATGTATGTAATTGTAATAAGACAAGAATAACTTTGTGGGAGTGACAAAGCAAGTAAAAACATACAAAATAGACACAGACACAACACAAAAGTGTTTAGAACTAAAAATAAACTTTGTTCTGTCATTTTTTTTTATGTCACAATTTTAACTCTCCTCTTTTTTGGGCTTAGAATTAGAAACTTTCATACAGTCTGGATGAGGAGAGACGAACATTTCTTGAGGGGCGACCGTCTCTTGAGAGGTGACTTTCTGCTGAGAGGTGACCATCTGCTGAGGGGTGAACATTGCTTAAGGGTTGATCGTCTCCTAGGGGTCGAAAGTCTCTTTGGGGCAATCATCTCCTGAGGGGAGATCATCTTCTGAGGGGAGATAGTGTCCTGAGGGGCGAAAGTCTCTTAAGCGAAAGTCTCTTGAGGGGTGAACATCTACCGAGAGGAGAATGTCTCCTGGCAGACAAACATCTCGAGGGGCGATTGTTTTCTGGGGAGCTATCATCTCCTGAGGGGAGATTGCCTCCTGAGGGGCGAAAGTCTCTTGAGGGGCAAAAGACTCCTGAGAGGTTAACGTGTCCTGAGGGGCAAACATCGCCTGTGGGGCGAAAGTTTCTTGAAGAGCGAAAGTCTCTTGAGGGGCAAACATCACCTGAGGGCAAACATCACCTGAGGGCAAACATCACCTGAGGGGCAAACATCACCTGAGGGGCAAACATCACCTGAGGGGCAAACATCGCCTGAGGGGCAAAAGTCTCTTGAGGAGTAAAAGTCTCTTGAGGGGCAAACGACTCATGTGGGGCAAAAGTCTCTTGAGGAGCGAAAGTCTCTTGTGGGGTAAACGTCTCTTGAGGGGCAAATGTCTCATGAGGGGCAAAAGTCTCTTGAGGAGTGAAAGTCTCGAGGGGCAAACGTCTCCTGAGGGGCGAAAGTCTCTTGAAGAGCGAAAGTCTCTTGAGGGGCAAACGTCTCTTGAGGGGCAAACGTATCCTTAGGGGCAAACGTCTCCTGAGGGGCAAATGTCTCCTGAGGGGCAAAAGTCTCTTGAGGAGTGAAAGTCTTGAGGGGCAAACGTCTCCTGAGGGGCGAAAGTCTCTTGAGGAGAAAAAGTCTCCTGAGGGGCAAACGTCTCCTGAGGGGCAAACATCGCCTGAGGGGCAAACATCGCCTGAGGGGCAAA